GGGCCAACATTTTCCCTAGTCTTCCTTTTGCTATTGATGTATTTGAAGAAGGCCTTCTTGTTGTCCTTGACATCCCTTGCCAGATTTAATTCCAAATGGGCCTTAGCCTTCCTTGTCGCATCCCTGCACGCTCTGACAACGTCCCTGTATTCCTCGCAAGTGGCCTGTCCCCCTTTCCACATTCTGTGTACTTCCTTCTTCTGTTGGAGTTTTGCCAGGAGTTCCTTGCTCATCCATGCAGGTCTCCTGCCCGCTTTGCTGGACTTCTTCCTCAGAGGGATGCACTGCTCTTGAGCCTGGAGGAGGTGATGCTTGAATATTAACCAGCTTTCTTGGACCCCTCTTCCTTCTAGGGCCCTACCCCATGAGATTCCCCTAAGTAGGTCCCTGAAGAGGCCAAAGTTAGCTCTCCTGAAGTCCAGGGTTGCAATCCCTGGAAGGGATCCCTGGAATCCTCCCTGGAGCCCTCCCTGGAACCCTCCCTGGAACCCAAGGAAGGGTTTAGGAGCTCTCACTCCTGCTCTGGACTCAAACAGCTTATGAAACGCGAGGCTTATCAGTCGGCCTTTGGCCATGCTAATGGTATCTTTTATCTCTTGGGTTCCTGTATGGAGCAAGCGTGTGTCAGGTCAGCACAGCAGAGAGCAGGCTTGAGCAGAGCCAGAGGTTGGATGACCCTATGCCTGAGTCTGTCTGCACCTTGTCTGCTGTCACTAAGTAGTTCAGTTTGTGTGGATGAAGGAGCAACGTGAAAGGGCACATGGTGGGAAGGTTTTAATTCTGAGTTACATAAGCTAGTTTCCAAAACCCGTATACCCTTGTAGACACTATACATCTTTAGTTACTTTCTGATTAAATGCAACATATGCTTCATTTGTGGATTTATATCCTTGTCCAGCAATCTAAATAGTAAATATCTACGACTTACCAGAACTGCCAGACTTCAAAGTGCTATATTATTCTGTGGCCTGATGATGGCTTTTCTTGATGGTTAAGCCATGGGTTGTCACAAAGCCTGATTTTTCTCTTTTAAAGGTCAAGACTGCTATTAAGCATATGTATGGGAGAGGAAAAGAATTTCTGACTCAATAATAGAAGTAAATAATCTCAGTGCTGGATTATCATGACAATGAGTTTAACCTTGAAAAGGAAGTAGGACGATACGTACACAGGACAAATTTAATAATCTAAAACTCATTTCTTTTACCTATTCATCTCAGAACATTCAGATGAACAGGAAATTCGAAGCCTGGAGACTGCAGAATAGATTAGTAAACAATAGAATTTCACACTCTTCATAAGGAGTGATTGCAAAGTTAGGTCAGATAAAATGCCAGAACTGAAGAAGGCTATGCAAAACAATGCTAACAATGCTAAATCAATTCAAAATAAGCAGCAGAAAACTGCCAGCTACAAATGATTTATTTCTTTAACCCAAGGACACTAAGGAGCAGTCATCACTGTCAGTGAGAAAGGAGAACTGCCAATGAATACAGCAGCAAGCACTCAGCTTTTTGGTATCGGGAAGATTTTGAAATAGAAAGTCACAGCTGTTTTGAATATTAGATGCTACATGGTAGGCACTTACGCTTCAGTGCTGCAAGCTCTGGGTTTGGATAACAGGTGCCTGAATATAGCACTGATTTGGCTTACCTAGATTACTTAGGGGTATGAATTCTTTTCTCTGCTATGATGAGTTCAGCTGTCCCCAAAATGCCACAAAGGCCCTGAATTTGAATTCTAATGTGTTATACCTCAGTGACATTTTTTGGTACCTGTCTTACTATTTATGGCTACAGTTTTTCGTGGCCGTAAGGGTCTTTTCTTCATTTGTGGAGGCAACGTATTCTGCTCAAAGTTGTTAGTGCTTTGTCTGAACAGCCTGTCTCTTATTACCAAGTCTCTATTTCTAGGACTTACTGATCTTATAGTGGTGTGAATGGCATGAACATTGCTTCAGAAAGTTCTACAAAAGAAGCAGACAGCTTGAAAGCAACTGAAGGAGTCTTAGTATTGAGTAGCAGCAACAGAGATAGCAGCATGAAGCAGTCAAGTGGACTTGAAAGTGAAAATGAGAGTTACACTTGACAGCAAATGGTGTATTTCCTAGTAAGAATCATTGGAGAATGGGGAGCAGGGCTCATTTTGTGCTTTTCTCTCTTCAGTCAGCTTTGGCTGTACCCAGTGAGTACTGATATTAACTCTTAATCACATTTTGGAACAGGTTGTGCACTTTTTAGAAAGGCAAAAACCTGCCTTGCTGTTAGTAGATAAATGTCATTGTCTTTGGAATGTTTCAACAGCTCCTTCAGCTACTGTATTTATTATCTACCCTTTAATACAAGATGACAGAGGCACTGTTACTCCATTGTAATGAAACTAGCTGCATAACTTTGTGTAGTATCATTTACTTAACTGCTAGTATTTGGGCTCTTTTTATTTCATTGCTTTGTCTTCTCAACTATGCTGGCTATTTGGACTAGTCAATTGGCATGTTATTTATAGCTGAATGCCATTAATGTTATGTTATCCTTGTCTTGTTCTTTTAAACAGAGGATGCGGGCTCCCAAATCCATCTGTCACATCAAGTAGACATGGCTGCTCAGGTGGCCTCAGGGATGGCTTACCTGGAAACCCGGAACTATATTCATCGGGATTTGGCAGCCAGGAATGTCCTTGTTGGTGAACACAGTATTTGCAAAGTGGCAGATTTTGGACTTGCAAGAGTTTTTAAGGTGGGTTGTGAGAAGATGAATTGGCGATTGGAACGCCTCTACTTCAGCTCTGAGGGAAAAACAGAAAAGATCAACTAAAGTATAAACTGCAACCCCTGAATTGCTGGGGGTGAGAAAAAGGCATGTCCGGTGGAAAAAAAGGTGCTCCCATAGGTAACAACCTTGTATCCTCTGGTTTCATTACTGCAAGTTTAGAAGCTGGCCTGTGCCTTTGCTCCAGCTAGTCCAGAGCCTGCTAGGTTGTCCACTCAAGCACCGAGGAAGGAGCCTGGAAGGACCCTTTGCTGCACAACCTTTTTCCACAATGCCAGTGTCTGGCACATGGAGAGAGATGGCAGGAATTATGGCAAGTGTTATATTCCTGAGCTTTTAAAGGAAGACATATAAGAATCTATTGATGGCGATTCCTTCCTTTATCCCTCCCGCACTTCCTCTGTGCTGCCTGGTAATGCAGGTTGCCATCATAAAAATCTTATTCCTCTGCACAGCTAGCAGCAGAGTTCATAAGGTGAGCTCTCAGACATTTAAATCTGATGCAGTTTCAAGTTCTTTGTCATTGCACTTTTTTTTTCTTTTTCTTTAGCCTTTGAGGATGTGGACTACCAAGTAATGATGACTGAGATAGCTGTGGTTTAGAAATGAGATTTCCTACTTCTTAGAAGGATTTGATCAGAGTTGGAAAGATTTAGCTTACCGTATTTTATAGATTTCAACATGTAATCCATAACTTGTGAGGTCTTATTGTTTTTATTGATTTATATTCTTGCACCAAGAGAGAAAAACTGAGAAAAAAGCCCTTCTAGTTTTTTTTTTTCCATTCAAGAATCAGAAATTGAGGTTCATAACAGACTTAGATTTATTAGATATTGAAATATAAAATAATGGCTTGACAGTGGCATCAGGGGACTTTGAAGGTGCTTTTTGCATAATTTTTGTTCTTATATTTATGCATAAAGATGAGATTGCATGGTTTTAAATATGAAAAATATATATTTTAAATGAACTGGGCTTACAATGCTTGAACCTCACTAGAGAGGTTAGTAACTTACAGTTGTTGACAGTTCTTGTTAAAATTGAACTTTTCTAAAATACTCTGTCATGGAGTAGTCTTGGTAGACTTCCTTAGGAATGTTATGGTTCCTAAGTGTAAGTATTAATGTGATCACATACAAAGATCTCAAAGTATTGATTAGAGAAACACGGAACATCAATTCACATCATTCCTTGTTCTCAGAGAGGAGTATTATGGTCAAGACGCCAACTGTATCAGTAAGTAGGTACAAGACACTAACAGTCACAATCTTGCCAAAAGCATAGGATAGTGCATTATAGCTAGGAATGAATATATTCTATATTTAAAACAAAACAAAACAAAAAAAACCCCCTGTACATATTTGTCTAAAGTTACATGTGCAAATCCTGGCCAAGGCTTGGATGTGGATGGTGTATACTAAGCAACATTTAGGAGTCAGAGAAATAATAAATGTTCCCAAAGTTTAGATGTCTGTGCTCTAAAGCTTTAAGGACATGAATCTATGGGTAAAAAAAATTAACTCAAATTGCAAGTAAATAATTTTCCTTTTTCTATATGTTCGCCATCTTCACTTTGCATGAATTAATTGGAGCCACTGTAAGCTAATATGTTAATTTAAATCATTTGGAGTTTGTTCTCTGGTCCTGAAACTTGCTTAAGTGATTATTATAAAGTCAATGGCCCTTCAGCACTGCAATAAATCACAAAACAAAGGTTCTGAAATTCATTAGCTCTTTCTCTTGCATTCTCCATTTATTGAAGACCAGACATGAAGCCATTTGGTCTCTAGTGTCAGCAGGATGCTTACGCTGCCACTTCTGGCAGACTTTTGAAATCTTGCATGCAAGATTCAGAATTCACAGTAGCAGGTCATAATTAATCACAAGCCATTCCAACACTGCCTGCTCACTTGAAAAGATAAATGCTTTAGCGAAGTGTCATATGAACAGCAGTGTTTCTCAACTATAAACTCCAATTTGACAAAAGACATCATTAAGCGCATGCTTTAATACCCTTAAATGCAAGTGCTTGACTGAAAAAAGGGTAAATTTAAGCACATGTTTAGCTTAATGGGGGGGGAGGGGAGGGGATGACACTTAAGTGTTTTGCTGAACAAGATCCTAAGTCAGGCTTACTTTGCTTTGTCCATGACAGGTAGAAAATGAAAATATATATGAAACTAAGCACGAAACAAAACTCCCAGTGAAATGGACAGCCCCAGAGGCAATCCGCTTGAATAAATTCAGCGTTAAGTCAGATGTGTGGTCGTTTGGAGTACTTCTATTTGAAATTATGACTTATGGGAAGATGCCCTATGCTGGTAAGTGTTTATAGCTAAAGAATGGTTTCTAATGACTTTTCCCTTTAAAGGAGATATAAAAAAGTGGAATGTTGAACTACAGTCAAAGGGTTAAACCGGTAAATAGAGAATGAAGGGTGTCCAAATGAGGCCCACTGAGTAGGTCAGACCTTCTGACTGCCCCAGGCCCCCGGAAGCTTTCCAAAGCCTGTGATTACCAGCCATTCAAGTTTTGTCTAGCTGGAATCAAACCTGCATTTCACAGGCACCTAAGCCAACTGGCTGTATCCCTCAGGCACCAGATCAAAGATGCCAACTGCTGGAATGTGGAGGAGAGGAAGGTTTTTCTCACCTTGGGGTTTTTCTTTTTGTTTGTTTGTTTTCAAGTGGGAGGTTGGGTTTTTTGTTTGTTTGTTTGTTTTGTCTTTTTTGTTTTAGGTATCATATGGAAGGACAGAATATAATGTATGGACTGCTGTACAGGCTTTTTAGGAAGAAGCTGTCTAAAAATGAAGCAGGGTTATTTTCTCCCCTTCCCTCGTATTTGACTATTGCAGTGAAGACCCTTCATAAAGAAAAAGATCACCAGAATTAGGCGTAAAATTTCATTAACCTCAAAAAAGTAGATTTAATAGTATGAGATCAGCTAGTATTCATAGCACTCTGAAAAATGTTCAAGGAACCGTAGCTCCAATAACACAAGATATCAATGAAATGATTGACTGGGACTCATTTTGTGCTAGTGAGGAGGACCCAGGGGAAAGA